ACACAGCTTGGTGTCGGCAAACTTGCTGAGGACACACTCAAAGGAAGTCAACATGTATCAGCATTTGTTTTGGCAGGTGTTCATAAAGTGTCGACATAAAGTAGCGTTGAAAAATAGACCTTGTAGATGTACACGAGGTCTCAGCTTCTTGTGGCCTAAAAAAGCACCTCTTATGGAAGCTAACAGAGTTAATCTGATATACCCCTTCCTCATGGAAAAGGCAAAGTGAAGCATGCTACCTCAAGTTTCCTGGGCAGCAGTTTAGAGGTTGCAGGTGAATGGCAGCACGCATACAGTCACTTGCTATGTCTCATCTGGGAAGTGGTAGCTCTGCTTTATTCTCTAGCTTTACCCTAAAGAAGGATTGCCACAGTTCAAGCAATACAGCACCTATGTAAATGCAGGACAAAAACCAGACTGAATTGTGGTAAGCCGATCTGAATGGTTGTTTAATTCTATGCTCGTAGGTTTGTCTTGTGGCAGCCCTGAGAGATTTATATGAGCCATTGATTCCGAATTAAAACAAAAGCATGAAATACCAAGTGCCTTACCTGAATAAGGAATAAATTCCAGATTACAACCTACAATTTATGTTAAACATTTAGATACTAATGCTTCTATTATGAGAGAAATTGTTATTGTTAACACAGCTTTATTTACAGTACTGTATCCTGGACCCTGATTGACCATCTTGGGAGAGGAAAGGAAGGAATTTTTATCTGTATTTATGGAACTCATATTTGTAGTTCTGCAATTTTTAAGTAACTCTGCATCTGTATTTTTGCTTTGCTTACTTTGTAGATAATGCTGAGTGTGAAGAAAAAAATGCCAATGAAAACAAACAAAGTACAGAGGAAAATATTTCCAAAACTTTACCCGTCAAACTACAAACACCCAAATCTTCACACAGAATACATCAATCTATTAAGAAGCAAAATGAAATGTCTCCCTTTAGTAAACTCTATGAAAAACTGAAACATGAGATAACAGTGAAAAAATCTCTGCAAGAGGGAAATATATCTCAACGAGCTGCAAAAGAAGATGGTAAGAGTGTTCTGCTAGAACCAAATGCTCGAATTTCATCATCAAGTTGTGTTTATGACCTGGGAAGCCTGACTAAAGAAAAAGAAATAGGCAGAAGTGAAAATATTGAAGAATGTAAAATAACAATAAAGCAAGAAGTGATCAGTTCAGAATGTAACCAGATCTCAGCTGTAGGAAGTGCTACCAAGAAGAGTTTTGCCAGAAGTCCTCAAACTTCGGTTTCAAAGGAGGTGTCCAGAGATGTTGGTAAAAGAAGCCACTTGCAGGATCATAAGGAACTAAGTACAGCAGGCAAATCTAAAGGTATTGAAGTTACAACCAAACCCAGTAAGGAGAATGATGGAAATGCAGCATTTTCACAGAAGCCGTGCTCTATAGAATGCTTGGATTATGTAGATCGAATGAAAATATACAGCTCTGCAATAGCAGTAGATAAACTAACACAAACAACTAACACAACAAATGTTTCTGAAGTAGATAAATATGTTCTGTCTATACCAACGCCCAGAAGGAAGAGTCCTCGGTCTCATTTTCTATCACCGAGCAAAGAAATTAGTGGAATGAATCCTGTAAATACTGATACTCCAACAACTGGACGCCGTGTGTCACTGAAAAATAAGTCTCTCTCAGAAATTTCAGCTGAAACTCAAAGGGAAGATTCAGTGTGCAGAAATGATAGCCTCAAACAACTGCCTTTGGCAGAAAATAAATGCTTAAAACAAAGACGAAATAGTAAACAGCATACCGCAGGGAAACCTGTAAAAGCAGAGGTGCTGAAAGAAATTTGTGATCAGGCAAACTTTGTTAACTCACAAGAGGGACGTTCTGAAACTCCTGCCTCTTTTTCAAATTCCAAGAGTCCCAGAAGAAATGACAGGCAAAGTAAAGAATTATCAAACAAAAGTGTCCATCCAGAGACACTGGCTTCAGAAGAGTTGGCCTCAGAACTGGCATCTCCTGCTGGTCAGAAGTCTGACTCTGGAAGGAAAAGGGGTAGGCCAAGGACCTCTGGACTGCTGACTGAAAGAGCATTAGAGACAAATGCCGTTGAAGAAAATCACGATAAGACAACAGACAGAAAGGACAGTGGAACTGAAGAAGAGCTGGCCACAAAGGGGAATCACCAGAAACAAGATTTGGAAGATGCTGGTGTTATGAGACCTCGTAGATTGTCATCCAAAAGGAGGTCTTCTGGAAGTGCTACTGTACTGAAAGACAATGAGGCTGTCTCAGAAGTGAATATTTCTGGCCTCTTGGCTGGAGAAGAGTCAGGTAAATATGTTTAATTCCCTCCCTCGTTGTTTTTACATTTGAGAAATTCTCATAGTGTCTTTATGAAAATTTGTCCACTTACATAAAACATAGAACTCCTTGCTGACATATTAGTTCTCAAATATTTCTCTTGTATTTATATTTGACTGTAAAAATACACAATAATATGTATAAAAGCTTACTCAATTGAATCTATTTCTCTTTAAGGTAAGTTACCTTCTGATATGTTTTCAGCTTTAAAATGCACGGGTAAGCACTGTTTTCTATGCTGGTTAAAATGTTGACTTGGATTCCTAGATATATAGAAATATTTTCAATTGTTATTTTTAGGTAACACAAAAAGGATATCTGAAAAGAGGAAAAGTGGTGACTTGTTACCTCAGCCTTTAGGAAAAAGAAAGAGAGTGTCTTTTGGTGGTCATCTAAGTCCAGAACTTTTTGATAAAAGTTTGCCTCCCAACTCGCCCCTTAAAAGAGGTGCGATTCCTGCGAGACTGAGTTTACCCTTTGGAAACTCACCACGTGCGGTTCTGAAAAAGGCTCAGGGATTGAAGCGCTTTGCAGTCCAGGTAACGTCAAGGCTAATCAGGTTGCTAAGACAATTAATGTGAAGAGAATTTATGAATTCTAAGACTTCTAAAAATTAAAAAATAGTAGTAAACCTTGTCAGATGTATGTTGGGAAGTGGAAATTTTAATTGCAATTAAAATGGTATTTGAAATCCGCAGACTTTAATCAGCACTTTAATTTCTCCATAGTATGAAAGGGCTCAGCTTACCCTCCTGTCTTTATACAGGAGGTGTGTTTTTATTCACCTCACACGCTATTGCTCATTCTCTACGTGGGAGCGTATTTCTGTATGTTTGTGCTTAGCAGCAGTGTCTACAAGCTCCACTTTACCATCAGTAGCAGAAAACAGAACAGCAGTTTGTTGGCAGACTGTGAGCTACTGCCCCGTGGTTTGGTTAGAAGTTTGAACACATTTGCTGTTGATTTAAACTAGTTAAAATGTGTGTAGTGTACTTGATGTGAACAAAACTTTTGAATAATAAATTCAGTTAACTTACTCAACTGAATTTGCATGTGTCTTTTGAGGCTGTTTTGACATTTAAAGCTTGCTACAAATTTATTTTCAGAGAATAACATTTAAGGTTTTTTTCAAATGACCTGATGATATTTTACACTATTGTATTTACTTGTCAGAGATGTAGATGAGCATTTGTAGTTCAGCTACATGCAGTAACATTTTATGGTGGTGGGGTTTTTGTTTTGTTTTTTTTTTTTTTTCTACCAGGAACTTTCTGAACATTTGCAGAAAGAAAAAATGTCACCAAAAAATTTGCCAAGCCAGAAGTCCCCAGCTGTCTCATCCCCTGCCTCTGGGAAGGCAACACCTAAATTTACTTTAGGTTCTCCAGCACCTTACACAAAAGGACGTTTCTCTATTTCTCACATCACAACGCCATTACCAATTGCAGAAGAGAAGGATGCTCTTGCAGAAGACATGAATACAAAGGAGAAAAATGGTGCCCAAGTGAAAACACCTAAATCTTCTCACATTAACCAAGATCATAAAACCTTTTCAACGGCTACACCTGACAAATTCACAAGAAGTGCACAACTCGCTTTGAAGGTCACTCCCATGAAGAGGAGAAGTGGGTCTGTAGCAGTTATCAATGCAAAAAGGAGAAGTGGTGCCTCTAGTGCCAATTTACTAGGTTTGTTTCAGCAGTTGATTTTGAATATTAATTTTAATGCTTTAAAATACAGGAACAAAACTGAAGTAGGCCTGTTACTTCGTTATGCAGAGGACACCAAATGATTGGTATATTTCATGATGGTTGTTGGACTGGTTGGAAACAACTGCGAATTGCAAAGTGTTACTTTCTCTCATATTCGTAAAGCAAATTACTAAAGCATATATAAAATCATATTTAGAACACAAATCTTAATGTTCCGAAGTTGAAAAATGGTAGAATTAAGGTTGTCTTTGCAAGGTTAGTTGCAGTAGTGATCCTGCAAGTTCAAATAGTATTGATACAATTTGTTCTACTTCAATTACCTCAATTTTGATTTGAAAATGTGCACTTTACAGCAATCTAGCTTCAGTTTGGTTTTTGTGCCTTTTTTATATGCAGTTCACAACCTTTGTCCCTGGACTCTGCTGCACTTGACAATGGTGTACATTAGTTATAATTAAAAAATAGGATAACTGGGTGTTAACTTGAATATTTTGAAGTTGAACATTTCAATTTGAATGTTGAACACTGGTTTGAAACAGTTTTGACAGCATTGGAAACGTGATAGGGGAGCTCTGATTCTTGATATTTTTTATCTTTGAAGAAACTTACAGAGTGGTCTCTTTGTTACTTGTTTTCATAAATTAAATCAATTTGACTCTTTTTAAGTCAAATTTAAAGCTTCCCACCAACACCAATCATTCACCCAGGAGTTTTTATTACTCTTTACTATGTCCATTTCTTGTAGTGTCATTTTAAAATTTTGAACAACATACTACATACAGTGTCCCAGTGATGGCCCCATCATCATTATTATTACGTGATGAGATAAAATCACAGGCCTTCACTAAACTTCCTGGTTAATACAGCTGAAAGTGGTATTAGTCTTCTAGCGAAATAAGCGTGGAGGTTTTTTTCTTTTTGGTTGTTTCATTCATTTTAATAGTGCCAAGATACTTCACAAATAATCACAGCATATCATTTTTCACCACCTCTCTGTAATGTGTAAGTGGTTTTTAATAACAGTGCATCAATTTCTTTTGTAATATGAAACGAACACCAGAGTTCTTTAAAAATTCTGAATGTCTACTTTGTATCCAAACCAAACTCTCTTGTTTTTCCAATGCCTGTTCAGATAATTTCCTGCATGCTTGGCATTTTTCTATGTATCCTGAACACCCTAGCAATGACAGCTTTTGAAAGTTATTTTTATTTACTGACTTGCCCCAACTTGGACAGTAATTCTGACAAGACAATAATAATATCCTTCAAGAATGATACTCCCCTTTTTACCTCTAATTAAAAAAATAATCGTTTCTTTTATGTGATCCCTGTCTTCTCATAGCCTCTTTCTGAAGTAAATGAGGCAGGTGTCCTACCAACTTACAGCTTCATTTATTACAGAGCTGTAACTAATTCCCCGATTCTGCTGTGTACAGAATGATGCTGTGATAAAGGTAACCTTGCTTTGGGAATTTTTCAGAGGATGTTTTAAGGAGAAGGTGATACAAGAAAAAATTATGGAATGTCTGTGTAAACCTAAATGCTGTAAGCAGTATAAGCAAATAATTTCCTGACTACAAAATTCTTGGGGAAAGTGGTAAAAGAAAAGTTGGATATGTTTCACTTAGAAGCCATTTCTTGTGTCCAATCAGGGAAAAATTCAGGTATAATAATGAACGAGACTGAAAGGCTCATGGCAAGTTTCTGTTGGGAAAAATTATTTCCTTACAAAAAGAGCGAGGATGGAATTGCGTCAGCCTTCAGTTCTGGGATCTAACATCTATTTGACACTATATGAAGCTTGTTGTTGTTGTTTTGTTGTGGAAATAGCCATACTTGGTAATTGTTAAGCTTCAGCTGAAATTGAGTCTTCCAGTTGAAAGCATTTCATAAAGCACTTCACTATGGGTGTTGTCAGATGAGACAACAACCGCTTTCCTATGCCCGAATGCAGCAAATCCATTGGAATTGTAAAGAAATAATTGTGAACTTCCATTTATACAGCTAAGAATTAAAGTGGTTATTTCTTTTTTGCTTTTTAGTTGCAAAATCTTGGGCAGAAGTGGTAAAATTAGGTGTTGCAAGACCACAGTCAAAGACTGTTAAAAAAAGCGTCCGAAAAGGAAGACATGTAAAGAAGATAACTCAATCACCAAAGGTATTCTTTTTATTTTTGCACAACCACAAAAGATCTTGTAGGTATTTTGCTACAGAACCTGGAAGCTTATGAGCTTTTAGTATAATGTTAAATGGGTGTTGATGTCTTTGTCACAGTGTATAAGAAATGTAGATTTTATATAAAAGGAACCTTTGTTTACTAACTTCTTTTTCTTTTTCTTTTCTTCTTTCCCCTCTGCAGACTCCAGTAAGAAAAATAAAAGGTCATTTTAGTACAGGTCACGCAGAGTCACCTGCTACAATAGTTGTAGGTAGAGCTTATTCCACCACAGTCAGAACGGCTGGACGGGTGCCTAAAGTGGTAAAAAATCCTATCTTGAAGCTAAACATGAATATGGACGAAAGCTTCACAGGTTAGTTTTTGAAGTCTGTTGCTCACTCTGTCAACTGTGTAGTTCTTTTGTCAAAGCATATGCTCATTTCTCTGAATATAATTTATAGGAATGACTGAAATGTTCCAAACTCCAGAAAATAAGAGTGGAAAAACATTACCTTTGGCCACTGTTCAGAAGATTGATTTTACACCAACATGTACTGCAGTGGAAATTTCTGAATTGCAGACTCCTGAAGAATCTGGTATGTTTGTTATTTGAAAAGAAAGGAAATGTTTAGGTATATTTAGGGGCAGGGGTGTGTCTGCTGCTTGAGACAGTGAGTAGTCTTAGCCTAGGCAGACTTGAAGCATCTGGCAACCCATAAAAGACATTTTTGTAGTTCCAGTTAGTTTTTTGAGTAGGTGTTATTCTCTTACTCCTTCTATTTGGTATGAAACCTCGAAGTGTTTTAGAAGTGTTTAAGGCAAGGGCAACCTGGTATAGTGGCGGATGTCCCTGCCCATGGCAGTGGTGTTGGAACTAGATGATCTTTGGGGTCCCTTCCAACCCAAACCATTCTATGATTCAAAATGTTGAAGTATTGTTTAAGGCAAATCTTGTGCTGAAGCGTGATGCTTTCTTAATCAGTTGTCTGTGAATACGTCTAAATTCAGTGACAAAGTTTCATGTCGGGGAGAGATTATTGTGCAATCTTGCAGGAAAAATCTAGTCAGGTTAGAAAGATTTGTATTAAGATGGTACTTTGCTGGGCATCTTTTGCTCATAACCTTGCATACCAGTCACTGTGTACCTGTATAACTCAGAATTCCTGAAATTAAAATTCTGTTTGCTTGAGAATTTAGCAAAGCTGGGCATCTACTGAAACACCAAGAAAAATAAAGAATAAATCCTCCAATATTTAAAATAATAATAATAGTTGAAATGTTTTTTGGTGTATTTCAGATGTTGTGGAAGATAGGCTTAAGTAAAATAAGCCTTGTTATAACTTCAGAAGGGAGTCCAGTTAAAAGTCTTTTCTTTGAAAAGAACTAGTAGAGTGATCTTCATTCACTTGAAGATGTCTGTTATTGGCTATTATTTCTACTGTTATTTAGTGCTTTCCCTAAATTGGTAGGCAGGCCCACCAATTCTATTAGATTATACAATCTAATCTTAGATTCTATACACATCAATCATTTTGTATGTCATGAATGCTTTAGTTTCATAATTTAGGGAATATGGATTGGAAAAAAAAAAAAAAAACAACTAGTTTATTTCTTAATGCTGCTGGACCAGGAATTTGCAAGGATTTGAACACCTTATGATTAGGACTTGACAGGATAGGAACTACAAAGGCAAGTTACCGCAGATCCTACAAGCCTTGACTAAAAACTGGCACCAGTAGATATGTGTACTTTATTTGTAGTTTGAAGGTGAGGGTTATGCTTTTGAAATCAACAGAGATAGTTTTAAGCTCGAGATTGTAGTTGTAGTTAAGGATACAGGACTCCTAGAGTTACCCTGTTCCTCCAGCCTGCGGTATTCTTACTTGTTACTGGCCTGCAGATAGAGACTCATGAACTGCAACTCTCTGAGCCTGATCATCCAGCCAATTCTTTATTCAACCCCTTGCCCGTTCATTTAGCCTGTGATGTTCTTGTTTGGATACCAAAATATTGTGGGAGATAGTGTTGAAAACTTCGTTAAAGTCAATTAAATAACAGCCACTGCTCTCTTTTCATCCACAAATCTTTTTATCATGGAAGGTAATCAGATTGGTCAGGTGTGATTTTCCTCTGATAAATCCATGCTGACTGTTCTAAATCACCCTGTTGTTCTTCCTGTGCCCACAAGTGTGTTTCAAGAGGACCTTCTCCACTATTTTTCTAGATACCAAAGCAAGGCTAGCCTTTAAATATTCAAGGCTTGCTTTTTAGTATATTATTCTGGAAATAGCATTTCTAGCATTATAAATTTGGTCTAAAATAAGTTTCAGGAAGAAAATACAACTTCCTCTAAAATCTTCGGTGAATCATTCTGAACAGACATTTTTCCATAACCTTTCCTTTGTCTCAGTTGCTTTTTTACTAGTGGGAGGAATGATGACTGCTTCTATTGAGCAACAGCATGGTTGTGCTTGTTCTAATGCTGATGCTTAATGCGCTAGGAAATAGTGAAGGAAAATAAATAGTTGACACTAAACAGCCAGAGAAATTAACTTTTTCCCAAGCTTTCCTCTTGATTATCCTTTTCTGCTATGCATAAGGAGCAGGACGCAAGAGAATCAACTCCAAAAGTCAGTGCCTCTGCTGGGACTATAATGAATGGTGTGAAAAATGTCTTTCCAAGTACAAACCACATGAAAACTTGATGTAGCTGCCTGATGTTATTGTGAGACTCCTCCATTATTTTTCAATGGTCTTGAGAGAGGTCACAGTTGACTGGAAGCTGGCAAATGTCCCAATTTTCAAGATGGGTAAGAAGGAAGACCCTGATAATTATAGGCCTCTCGGTCTTGCTTCAGTGCCTGGTGACATTACAGAGGTTATTCTGGGGGTTACTGAAAAACACTTGAGAGACGCTGCAGTCATTGATCATAGCCAGCACAGGTTCACAGTCCGTAGTATGTTGGGTGAGGAATTGGCTGACGGATCAGGCTCAAAGAGTTACAGTAAATGGGGTGACATCAGGCTGGCAGCCAGTCACCAGTGGGGTCCTTCAGGACTCAACTTTAGGGCCAGTGTTCTTTAATGTTTTTATAAGTGATCTGGACACAGGAATCAAAGGTACATCAAGTTTGCTGATGATACTAAACTAGGAGGAGCTGTGGACTCCCTCAAGGGTAGAGAGGCCTTACAGAGAGATCTGGATAGATGAGAGCACTGAGCAATCACCAACTGTATGAAGTTGTAACAGGAGCAAGTGCCAGATGCTCCACCTGGGACAAGGTAATCATGGTTATATGTACAAATTGAGGGATGAGAGGTTGGAGAGCAGCCCTGCAGAAAGAGATCTGGGGGTTTGGGTTGATGGCAAGTTGAACATGAGTCAACAGTGTGCTCTGGCAGCCAAAAGGGCCACCCATGTCCTGGGGTGCATCAAGCACAGCATAGGTAGGGAAGTGATTGTCCCACTCCCACTGGTGTGGGCCCACCTTGAGTACTGCGTGCAGGTTTGGGCTCCTCAGTGTAAGGACATCAAACTACTAGAGTGTGTCGAGAGTAGGGCAACCAAGATGGTGAAAGGCCTCAAGGGTGGCTGAGGTCACTTGGCTTCTTCAGCTTGGAGAAGAGAAGGCTGAGGGGGTGACTTCATCACAGCCTACACCTTCCTCAAGGGTGCAGTGGAGTGGGAGGTGCTGATCTCCTCTGGTGGCCAGTGATAGGACACAAGGGAATGGAATGAAGCTATGTCAGGGGAAGTTCAGACTGGGCATGAGGAAAAGGCTCTTCGCCAAGAGGATGGTTGGTCACTGGAACAAGCTCCCCAGGGAAGTGGTCACAGCACCAAGCCTGTCAGAGTTCAAGGAGCATCTGGACAATGCTGTTAGTCATATGGTTTAGTGTTAGGTAGTCCTGCAAGGAGCAGGGATTGGACTCGATGATCCTTAAGGGTCCCTTCCAACTTGAGATGTTCTGTGATTCTATGATACAAATTTAAAAAAAAACTCTTGTCATTTTTTTTCCCCTTTGTGTTGGAAAGGTCAAATGTATGTTCGTTTATGTGAAAATTTCTGATTTATGTCTGGTATTGTTTGAAAACACAAAGGAAATTGCAATGAAAAACTTGCATCACTAGACATATGAGGGACAACAGAAGACATTAACTTTTATATCAGATTAAATAAGAAAAAATAATCAATTTTTTGGTCAGTTTAAATGTATGCTGTGCATGGTAGAAGCTAATTACCAAATCAATTGTTGATGCACGTTTTTGGGTTTTGGTTTGTAGAAGGCTCCAGCTGTTTGAATCCATTTTACTTAGTTATACAGCAATTAGAATGCTTGGATTTTCAACTTAATTCTTTTCCCAAATTACATAAATCTACTTATTTCAGGAGAAATGATGGTGTCACCGTTAAATAGTTCAGATGCTTCAGAACAGACACAAGATAATCCAGGCATTTGTCACTTTCTGAGAGAGGAAGAGTCTCTAAAGTCTATGTTTGATGCAATACCCACAAACACTCCTGAAAACAGAAAAGTCACCCTAGAAGAAAATACTAGTGTGGATAGTTTGTCAGTAATTCCAGATAAACAAGCATCTCGGATTAAATCAAGAAGTAAAAGGAGGACCCCAAAGCAAAGTTCAGAACCAGTAGAAAACTTGTTGGGTGTCAAGGAGCTCATGAAGACCCCGAAGCAGAAGTCAGAGCCTGTAGAGGCCTTGTCAGGCATCAAGCAGCTTTTGAGAACCCCAAAGCAAAGGTCAGAACCAGTAGAAGCCTTGTCGGGTGTCAAGGAGCTCATGAAAACCCCGAAGCAGAAGTCAGAGCCTGTAGAGGCCTTGTCAGGCATCAAGCAGCTTTTGAGAACCCCAAAGCAAAGGTCAGAACCAGTAGAAGCCCTGTTGGGTGTCAAGGAGCTCATGAAAACCCCGAAGCAGAAGTCAGAGCCTGTAGAGACCTTGTCAGGCATCAAGCGTCTCCTGAAGACACCAGAGCAAAAGTCTGAGCCAGTCGAGGTCCTATCGGGCATCAAGCGGCTCATGAGGACCCCACAGCAGAAGCCAGAACCAGTTGAGGTCCTGTCGGGCATCAAGCGGCTCATGAGGACCCCACCACAAGACTTGGAACCTCTTTCAGATGAAATTGCCTTTAAAAGATTGCTGAAGACTCCAGTACAACAAAGGGAAGCAGTAAAAGATGTGGCAGGTGTTACTTTAATCAAAAAAACTCCAAAGCTGAAATATCAACCAGTAGAAGACATGATTGGGGTTAGCCGTATTTTCAAGACACCAAAGGAAAAAGTTGAACCCATAGAAGATATGTTTGGTATTAGTAGATTAGTGAAGACTCCGAGAGAGAAGTATCAACCAGTTGATGATTTTGTGGGTCTGCAAAAGCTTATGGCAGAACCCAGGCAGACATGTTCCGATATTGAAGTGGACTATGTTGGAGTTAAGGAAATGTTTGATATACCAGAGGAAATGAAGGTAAAATACTTTTTTTTTTTTTGCTTTTGGAAGGAATTTATTTAGACTTTGAAGCCTGTAGTTGAAATGAATTCTTGGGCCTGAGAATGGAGTATGACGTCTTGTGTTACAGCACTTCAAATATGTCATAACCTCTGGAGAAAAAGATACCTTCTAGAAAAGCCACCTCTTGTTGATTTGCACCCTTTAAATTGCTTACAAACCATAATCAAATTATTTCTCAGCCTTCTTTTTCATAAGCAAGGCATATAGTTGTATTTTCTTTTGTACAGCTGCTCCATACCCTATAGATTAAATTTTAAGCTGACTTCTTGTTTGCACATCCAAAAGTGTTGAGCTTTTGACAAAATATTACCATGTGGTCAATTGATTACTTGCTACGTCCCAAAGTCTTTCATTTATTGCTTCCCGAATGGATGCCTATCTTATGGAAATAGCTATATCGCTGTACATTTGCCTGAGTTAACATGTATTTTCTTTGAAGGAACCCTAAATAGTTACTGAGGTTGTTCTGGGTTACCATTCTGACCTTAATGATTCACAGCTTCATCACTCTTGTCATTTGTAAATTTTATTAGTATTGATTTTTATGTTCATTCCCAGATCCATAGGTAACAGGATGAGTGTCACTGGGCTTAGTGCTCATCAATGTAGAATTACAATAAAACACTACAAAATACTCAAATGATTCAGCTTCAAAACCCCAGATTCCTTTTGAGCACTTATTTAGACACTTTTCAGCCAATTTTAATTAATACTTTTTGACCTCTATGCAGTCTTTGTTATCTTTCACTTTAAAAACTGCTACACTAGCTCAGATACCAAATATTGTTTGATATATTTGTGTGCTAATATCAAAAATATGGATGCAGTTATAAAACTAAGTTGATTTCATTTTTAGAGAAAAGTATTTGCCAAGACTTTTTTCAACTATTACTATACATTAATTTTGTATTGGTTGGCTCCGTTATTTCTCGTCCTGTCAGACGTACATTTATTGTTTATTCCCTTAGGTCAGATCAGTAAACGTTATGGATTCTAAGCAAAAAGATACTGCACCTCCTTGTACTAATTCCAGTCACAACTATGGTAAGTACAAATACTTTAACTAGAGGAATAATGAATGTACAAGGCAATACGTGTTATTATGAAGTTTTAGCATATGTTTTAAAAATTCCAAAATATATAGTGCAAAGCAAGCATAGCTTATGGAATTTGGGCAGTCCTCCCTAATGGTGGACTGGAATTCTATTGGTATGGAAGTAACAGTGTAGTAGTTTGTTGGTGTGGTAACGTTGGCATCTCCAAACACACTGGTGTAAAAAACCTGATGGTAAAGTCTCCACTTAAAATTATCTATCTTTGCAAAGACCTTGGAGAACATAGCTTAAACCTATGAATGCTACCTACCAAAAAAACCAAACATCTTTGGTCAGAAGCTTGGCCTTTAATCTAAGAGTTAGTTAAAATGATTATTTGTTTATTTATTTATTTTTAAATTAAGAACACTAAGTGTGATTTGTTTGAGCAAGATGACTCTGTTAGGAAAATTGAAACTCACAGATACTTTGATCAGACATAGTAATGTATAACTTTTGTGCTCTTTTCTATGTAAAAACTTTGAATGGGGGAAAAAAAAACTGTTTTAGAAGACAAAGGCAATACTTCACAAGATGAAGATTCTCAACAGAAGGAATCTACTAGTGAAGACCAGTCTACTCAGAGATCAACAAGGGGCAGATCAAGGAAGACAGTACATCCTGCTTCAGCAAAGCAGTGTGAAAAGAACTTGAATTTAAAAGAGTTGCAAGGTGTGGAAAACAAGAGCGCCCAAGAGGAGATGGGAGAGATCAATACTTCAGTAGCTAAAAACAAAGGAAGAGGAAGGAGAACAAACCGTTGCATACAAGAAGAGATTGTTTCAAAGCACCCTGATCAAGAAAAAGTTGAAACTGTTTTGTTTGTGGAACCACGTGGAGCTACTCAAAGACCAGGAAGAGGTAAAAGAAAAGAACCGAAGGAGTTAAAACCTCCAAGTGAGAATCTTGAGTCTTGTGGCAAAGATTCTTCAGTGCAACAGGAAAAACCAGCAAATATGGAACAGACTTTGCAGGCATATGGCATCAATGACGTATTAGAAACTGAAGATGATGCAACAGTAAGTGTATCGAGCAGCATTCAAAATGAAAATTGTCAACTGCAAACAGGTTTAAAAAAACCTGAAAACAAATCTAACAAAGGTAGTGTAGAAGACAGTGAAGAAATGCTTCTGTCACCTAGGAAGAGATCTAGAGGAGTAAAAAAAGAAAACACAGAACCACTTATTCCACCTAAAAGAGGAAGAAGAGCTAGAACTGACCAAGTTAAACAAGCTTCTTCAGAGGACCTTCGTGGGACAACAAGAAAGCTTCGTAAAGACCCATCAGCAAAGATGATAAAAAGAGATGAACAGACTTTTGACAAAAATACTGAGACTGCCATAGCAGAAGAATCTGAAAACAGAACTAAACTTGAAGTAAAGATGACAGAGAAAAGAGTTAAGTTTTTAAGAAGTGCTAGAAAGCAAACTGAAGTAAACGCAGACATTTGTGGGATGGCACTTGAAAATATACAAAACATTCAGAAAACCAAGGAAACTTCACCTGAAAGGGATACTGAAACACAATCACACATCAAAAGTGAGATTAAAGCGTCTCGGGGAGATGGAACAGAAAATGCTCAGGAAAATACAACAGAGGCATCTCAAAGATTAAAGGCAGAATCACCTTCTGGAGAGACGAACAAAATGCCAGTTACTGCTCTGAACTTGGAAGCAAACAGAAGTGCAGTACAAGAAACAAGCAGAACTAGAAACAGGAGAGGCAAAAATGACTCTTTGGAGAAAAAGACTGATGAATTTGCCAAAGATGTAAACAAACTAGAACTAATTATGCCCAAATTTAAGTCAGAAACAGAAATGGATGAATCTTCTCTCAAAGATTCTTTGGGCTCTGTTCGTGTCGAGAATATGTACCAAGTCACAAAGGACCAGAACAAGCCAACTGGCACATCAATGCCTGCTGCAAACAGTGACAGTCTTCCACATAGCCATCAAAAGCGGTCAAGAAATGAACAGGGAATACTTAAAGCAAAGCAAACCAAAATCCTGCAGGAGAATCAAGCGCAAAACAGTGGAACTGCATGTAGAAGAGGCAGAGGTAGAAAAGCTAATTTTGAACTTGAAGAAGCCAGTTCCAAAGTGAGTGGAGGAAAAAGTAGTTTACCTGAGGATGACAAAGGAATAACTTGCAAAGATGGTCAACATGAGGCTTCAGAAAATCCTTCTTCACAAGTAAGGAGGAGCAGAAGAAAGCAAACTGACTCCATTCCACAAATAGCTTGTTCTACCTTTACAGAAAAAAAAACATTAATTGCCGATCATAGTAAAGATGAGGCTTCTGTAAAAGAGCAAGATTCAACTTTGGAAGCTACTCCCTCTTCAACAGAAGACAATCCACAGAGACAAGGGAAAATACAAGAGGTTGCTGCAGCATCACAAACATCTAGATCTCTTTCTATCAGAAAAAGACGTGGGTTGCTAGAAGGTGGTGATAAAAAGATGACTGAGAGACAAGATCAAAATCCAGCTTTGGGAAATAAAACTTTGCAGGCAAAAGCAAATGCATCAGCAAGGGACAAAAGGAAAAAGATTGATCTAGCAGCGGAGGCAAAAAGTTCATCTTCTCTCCAGAGAAAATGTGTCTTGTCAGAAACTGATGATAAAGAGGAGAGTACTAATGAAGAACAAAATATGCCTTTGGAACCAGTGTCCTGTGCAAAAGAGAAGCCATTAGGAAGGGGCAGAAAGAAAGAAACTGTTCTGGCATCACATACAACTGATTACATTTCTCTTAGAGGAAAACGTGGTTTGCCAGCAGATAATGGTAGAGAAGAAGCTCCTAAAGAAGATCAAAATGTTCCAAATCAACTGAGAAAAGGCAGAAGAAAAGAAATTGCCCTCTTAGAAGCCCCAAGTTCTACTTCTAGTCAGGGAAAACAGGGCTTATCAAAAGAAAGTAGTAGAAAGAATAACGATGGGGAAGCAAAAAAGCTGATTTTGGAAAATTCTGCTTCCCAAGAAAAAAGGGATCTTTCAAAAGGGAACTCGAGGCAAACAATCACTTCAGCAGCTGTTAGTTCCACCTCACTTCAAGGTTTTCCAGAAGATGGTAAGAATGAAACTCCTGAAGAACAGCGGAGTATACCTTTGGAAGTAGCTCAATCTGCAAAAGAAAATCCGTCAAGAGTGGGCAGAAGGAAAACAACTTCTTCCAAATCTGAAGAAACTAGTTCTACTTTTCTCAGGGAAAAACCTGGCTTGCCCAAAGACAGAGGTCAAAAGAGGATTCTTAAAGTAGATGAAGATGCATCTCTAGAAAATAATTCATCCCGGGAAAAAACAAGGCAATTGAGGAGTACAAGGAAAAGGGTACAAGTCACATCAGAGGCAGCTACTTCTACTTCTCTCCGTAAAAACGGCGACTTGCCAGGAAATGTTAACGCTTTAGAAACTCAAAATGGGTGTTTGGCGTCCACTGGTTCTGAAAAAAATAATAAGTCTGGAAAAGAAGAGGCTAACCCTGTACAACAGGCAACTTCCACTTCTCGCAGAAGAAAATGTCTGTTGCCAGCAGATGACTTAGCATCCAAAAGGTTAAAATCAGGTGAGGCAAGAATTCGCTTTCTATTTTCTAAGTATAGCTAAGTTATGTATGGATATAACAATAATGTGTACACAATTCTAGTATTACTGTGGGCTGCCATGCTCTAATGTAGATAGAGAGTAGGTCTTCAATATAGCAAAACAACTTAAGTAAATAGGGTCTGTTTACTTAAGGTTGTCTTATATAAACAAGATGTTTTTCCTAAGTAGAAGGGATTGATTTTATGGGATATGGCATGTATTCTTCCTCTGTTGGGTTTATTCAAGTGTCTTCCTGCTCTTCTGTTATACATTCTCTCTCAATCCATAACAATAAATTATAGTTTAGGGTAAATACAGCAACTACCTTACATGCAGAAGATGGTAATGACAGAATGCAATAATCACCTATTTGTAGCACCCATTGTTCACCTTGTTTTCTTCTAAGTAACATCCAAGCTCCTGCTTTTATATCTCTAGGTTTACTAGTCACCCACTGTTTTTTGAAGTTGATACTAGAAGGGCTTGAAGCTGTATTTGAGTTAAAAAGACAGCAAAAGTTCCATGCGTCTCCCATTTCTTCCTTTACTGTTTTGCTTTCCCCAAGCCAATAGAACTCTTGCTGCAGGCGTCTAAAATATTCCCTGGAATTTTCAGCTTGATGTGATATAACTTAAAAACTGCCATGAAATGTATGCAAATGGAAATAACAATGAATCTTTAGAGCTACATATTGGGGAATTTCTTGCTAAATTGTGTTTGAAAACCTTATTGTGACTTGACCATGACCTTTGTTTCATTTCTCTTTGGCTCTTTCCACGTGCTTATCCTCATATAACGTGTACATCTCTTTTGCCAGGTATCTGTCTTGGTTTCTTGAGTTTTCTTTTGTTTCCCTTTTACACACTTGCTAGTTCCTGCTTCCTGATAGTACTGTGCCAAATGATTGATCTCTTCTCATACTTTACTGCCTGCCCGGATAGTTTCTCTTTCGGGGAGGTCATCTTTCCTCGCATGGATTTTAGCGACAGTTTGTGTGTCTGGTGCTTGGGTTGATGCTTATCTCTTGGAGCAGCTTAACTTTTCCGTGCTACCTAGATAGCTACATATGTGTCTAGTCTTTTCCTTACAGGTAAGAGCCTGACTTTCCAGCTTTATCAGGACCATAAAACAGTTGTTATATATTCATTTTTGCAGGATTTTTCTTCCATGTTAGATATGTTTTAGTTTTGCATATCAGTAGAAGGGATTTTAGCTAAAATGGTAGCTAATTGGTTTTGGTGCTCTCATTAATGTTAACCTACTTTCAGAAATAGCTGGAAGTCCTCAGGGATCTATCTTAAAGGATATTGGATGTGCAAAAGTATGGGGTTTGTTACTGGTGTGTTGAATTCATAGATGTAATCTTTGGAATGTAGTCATTAGGGACACTTTCTTTAAAAACAGTGTAACTGAAGATTGAATTTTGTATAAAATGTTTTGATTTATGATACAAATTTACAGTTGATTTTTTGTGTACAAATAGAGAATGATGAAAATAGATCACTCCAAAAAGGAAAAAGAAACAAATCTAAAGAAGAACTTGGTGAAGAAGATGTAAGAGCTACTCGGACTGCTGGTGGGACAGACAGGAAGACACGATCAAGCACAAGAACAAGTGCAAGAACAAGAAAATAGTCTTAACAGGCACAGAAACAGTTTTTAAATCAATTCAGTAATTGAAATTGCAGGTTTTTAATGTGAATTGATTTGCACTCAGATTTTTAAGCTCAGATTTTGTAAAGCAATCACTGAATTATGTTATTATCAAATTGTATTTCCTAATTGTTTACAGATACAGCACTGGTATCTGTTTTAATAATTTGTCTATGATGTGTAGTGGTTCCTAAATCATGGGGTGCTTGTGCAAAACTGCAAACATAAGTCTAAATCTTTTTAAAACAGTATTTATCCTTTTTCTGTTGATCAGTACAGCAGTCAGGAAGCCATATTGCTTTACTGCCAAGTTTAATTGTAAGCTATTTTCTGCTTAAATTTTTATGTGCTTAAGTCTTATTTTTCATTACAGTTCTGTAAATATTCTTTAAAAAACTATAGATGTATTAGCAGAACTATTATGCTGAAATTTTGATAATTTTTTTAAAAAAAACACCTTAAGTTCATTGTACTGAAAAGTGCAGATTTGTAAGTGATTAAATTTATAAACAATTTGGGACTTGTGTGTTTTCTGTTCTTAAGAAGACTTAAGGATGTGTAATTACTACTGTCGTCTTACAAGCCTATTTCAAAAACAGTTGTTCTTGCTAGCCACGTGGCACATTTTTGAAAATGCAGTGTGGGTCCTCTGCAGTGCAGACACTTGTAAATGCGGCCGGACTGTGCAGCACTTCCACGTGTGAGGGCGCGTTGGTAAGAGAGACCTGAGTAGTGAGTGTATGTCATTGTGATGTTGCCCCTTTTCACAGAGTTGTAGTTAACGTGGAGTAGCTGATGTGGTTTGGAGACCATTTTGAGATCAGTGTCTGCAGTGCCTGGGAAATAGCAATGTGCATTGGCCTTCAAGGCTGGTGGCTTCCTGTTACTGTACTAAATTAATAATTACTGTATTAAAGGGAGACAGTTCATCATGGGCATCTAACAAGCCCAAGTGCAGTTTTAAGACCAGAGTTAAGAGGTTACAATTTATTGAGTCCATGAGGAGTTAGAGACATTCCTGTGGAAGGACAGCCGGATGTTGTGTTCGGATGTTCTTGTGAGCTCTTTTTGAGAATGATAATGGCCCTTTCTTCAGGTGAGTTCTTTTTTGTGAAGTCTGTTCTCTTTCTTCAAACTCAAAAATAGTCAAATTAAGCAAGGAGCTCATTGGATGCTGTCCAGACATTCAGAGTTCAGATGTGATATGAAGAATTTTTTTTCTAATTTGTGGGCTTTTTTTTTTTTAAATATATGGAATATGCTGTGTCCATATCCACAGGTTTTTAAATGCTTTCGGCATTTTATCTTGTTATGCGCTTATTTTTTTGCTATACTTAATTCCATTGTGTAGATTTTCAGTGTAACATTCTGTAGATCTAGTCATATTTTCGAATTAGCTCTCTTGCTTCCTGCATGTGCTTGCTTTACCGTGCTCATATGTGGGTCACTGTCTACCAGCTGAATTTTTTTGAGAAGATGGCTAGACCTTACCAGAGAACAAAGAAGGGAAGAATTAGCGATGCACAGTAATAGATGACAATGTACAGAGAAAATGAAATACTGGATGTGATATCAGGGTGAATGGGTTGGATAGTACTGCTGTGCTGTGCTATGTATGTCCTGTTGTATTAACCTGTGTTATCTGATGTTGCAGAGGATATTTCTATTTGGAGTACTCTCATTTTTCTTTGTGTTCTACTCAAGAAATCATTTCTGCACTTGTGGTATCTTGTTCATTATTTGATCCATCTGAATGAAGGTTTTGGCTCAGAACTTGACATTTCTGCTCAATGGCTGCTCAGCTTTTGCATTTACATTTCACTGAGCCATCAAGAGTTTTTCCTACTGCCTGTCCTGATTGCATAAATACAGCAAGCTCTCCTTATTTTGGCTTGGTACCCTTTGCTATGAAATGTGGCTATAAAGAGGAAATTCAGTAATGTTTTAACCTCTTGAGGCTTTTGATGCAAGTACTCTTCTTCCAGGTGAGCCCTGCAGTCTTGCTGGTTTTTGAGCTCACATCTGTAAATTTTCTCCTCTGCTCTCATATAAGATAATCAAGTGTCTATAAGTGGCTGTACCTCTCTTTTCAGTCTTTAATATCGTTCTGTAGTTATTCAAGGCAATAATTTCTGGCCTAATGATAAATCAGAGTCTTAAGGCAGAGGCCAAGACTTTTTCTAGCACAACAGAAAGCAGCGCTGAAGGGTATTGCTCTGTGGGGAAAACCCTCCATTTTTAATTGCATAACATGCAACTGTTTCTTGAAATTATGATGAGTCACATCATCTGCTCTAATTTAGACAGTTGGCATTTGGTGGTGAAGCATCCTCCATGCGAGCGGAGAGCTAACCCTGTGTGCAGGTACACTGAGGTGTGCTGGCAGAGGAAGTTCTCACAGCTGCCGTGAAGCAGTTGCATTGTTTTTCATTTCAGCCCTGCTGCTACAGTGGTAAACCAGGGCATGTTGGCAGCCTGGGCTGGTGAGCTACTGCCTATCGTTCTGAATAGCAAGGTATCTATTGCACATCAGCGTACAAACTAGCTGTGATGAATTAGAGACATGCCTGAGCAGCTCTGGTACGATGGGGTAAAACAGGGTACCTGGGTGCTTTGCCATTCACACACTAGTTCTTGAACTCTCAGCTGCAGATAGGATGTAAGAGGGTGTGTTGGCTTTTCTGTGCAGGATTGTGCGTAGCAAACAGATTGTCAGTGAGATGAGCAGACCGGTGTGTTCACTCGGTGGCCTTACAGGGTATGTAGAAAAGACATCGTGCCTATACCTGCATGTGGATATACGAGGAGCAGAAAAGGCCTCAACCCATGTAAGCGCTGCTCGGTAACAAAAACATCCCGAATTACCAATGCTGTTTCCAGCACCGGTCCAAAACACAGCCCCATACCACTACTGGGAAGAAAATGACCTCCACCCCAGCCCACCAACGCAACAGTTCAGTCTCAGCTGTGTTTTCATTTAAGCCTGCATTGGCACTCAACTTTTCAGATGGATGAGAAACGGCTATACCGCTCCTAATTACCTACAACTACTGGATTTGATGTTTCCTTTCAGAGGGATCTTGTAATCGATTATTGAGGTAACGGAAGTTGGGGATGTATTAGGTAATGGCAGAATAACGAGGTAATTTGGGCACTGAAGGCTGCTTTAGTCACAACTGGCTCTGGCAGATCCATCCAGAGGACTCTATCTCCTAGTGCTTTTCGGGCGGTGCTCGGAGCAGGGCTGGCTCTGCACTCACTCCAAAAACTGGCTTACGGTCAGGAGTTTGAAGTGTTGTCATGACATGTATCTGACCAATTCAGCTG